TAGACACAATGAATCGTCGATTCCCCAGAAAATATGGGAAAATATGGGCAGTGGGGGGGGGGGAAGACAAAGACCCAGAACATACAGGAAAATATGGAGAATCTGGTTATTTGTGTGTATTTATTGGTGTGTCCCAGGGCCCCTTCATTTTGGTTTGCCGGCATCGTCCAGGACGGCAGCCGCGGAGCCGAGCGTGGCGGCCCGAGGGACAGCACGGTGACCGGACGTGCAGATTCGCAAACGAGTCTTGGGCGGTGCGTATTGGGGGGGGTCATACATGGGGGTGGTGGCGATAGTGGTCCGAAAAGGTACCCAAACGGTACCCAAACGAGCCCCCTGGGGCTCCGGAGGGGCCCGGAAGGGGCACGAAAGGGGGCCGCTTCTGACCCCCCCATCGATGACCCCCCCATGAAGCCACGCCCAAACGAGAGGAGAGAGCGAAGATGGAGCGTCTGGAGATTTGGGCGGATTTTTTCTCGGGGTCGGGCCGGGCCCCCCTTAGGCAGCGCCTCCGGGCGCGCTCCGCTCGCACGGGAGGGAGGCCCGCGGGGAACCGGGGACATGCGTGCGGACCCCGAACGTCAGTGTGGATGCGGAGTGCTCTTTTTACCATGTGCGGCATGAGCGTGCAGGTTGCGCGAGGGTTCAGAGCGGCCCCAGCCCTTGCAGGGGGCACCCTGATGTCGGCATCGCACATACGTGCTTGTACTACCTACGTGTGCGTCGTCTCGACCAGGTCGAAGCGCCCGCTCGGAACCGGAGTACAATGAACTCTGCGGTGGGCGCCTTCTGTCGTACCACCTGGGTAATTAGCCATATCGCAGTAACTCGCACTTTGAGGCACGGCGCGTTCGCTTCGGACGTATGTCTCCAACAGACGCATCTATGAATAGTCAGAGCGAGGGGGCCGAACGGTCTTACACCGTTCCTGGGTGCGCGGCTGAAGTGTGAGTCGGCAGCGCGGATTCTACAAACAAAAACCGAAGGAAAACATATGGTTGAGATTTCATGTATCAGAAAGAACTATCGTTGATCCTCCACTCCAGTTTATTTGGTGCTTTTCAGGCAAAGTGCTCCTCCAAGGGCTCGCACCTTGTTTTTCACAAGGGGGAGTCTTGCGCGTCACACTGTGCCCCCAGTCCCCTTTGTACAACTGAAACGGTTCACGTCTGACAATCCTTTGCAATGTATAAACTCGCCCTCTCGCGGAGGATTGTTTTCACAAGTTCTGTTTTCAGGAACCGCGCTCCCGCGCTGAATTTCCTTACAATATATTGCGCTGTGGGCTTCCTCACGATTTACTAGGGAGTCGAGCCATGGCAGAAGACTTCCATCGGGCATCGCGCAGTCGTTCGAGACTTACTCACGATTGATGCAAAACGGACGCTTCAGCAACACGTCCGCTCGACCTGGCCGTCTGGGCCCGCCCGCCCGACCCGCCTGTTAGGATCTGGCCGCCCGACTCGCCCGTCTGGTTCTGCCGGTTGCTTTGCTGCTCTTTACCCCTCTCCTGCCAATCTCTCGTGCTCCATTATTCTTAATCCCGTTGTTCCTTCCCTCCTCCCTTTTTTCTTCCCATGTCGTAGAGGCTGCGCCAACTAGCGTGGCCCATTAGGGAGATATACCCCCAAGTGGGGTACGATCGAAGACGGAGAGGGCAGGTATCGAAGGTTGGGGGCATACGTGCTGAATGGCACGCGAGGTGCTAAGAACGAACATGTGAAACATCATAATTGAGCATTCATCTTCAATAAACTATTGTTGATCGCCCCCTGTTTCTGATTGCGTGTGGCAATTCAAGTGTCCCCCCCAGGGGCGCGCACCTGGTTTTGCAGGGGGGAGTCTTGAGCATCAGCATGCGCCCCTGGCTCTGAACTACCATAACAGCGGCTACCGCCCGATACTTCACAGGTTATTCGAGACTGCGCCTTCGCGCGGGACGTCCTCACAATTTATCCGGGTCTCTTGTTCTCGCATCGGTTTTTCTCGCAATGTATCGAATCGCCGCGCGCCTAACACTCAAGACTCACGCTCTCGCTCTGCTCTTCCTCACGGTTTACTTGGGAATCGCGTTGTCTTTCGAGACTTCCTCCGAATCACGCAGGACTGACGCTTCAGCGATCCGTCCGCTCGACCCGCTCGCCTGGGCCCGCCAGCCCGACACGTCCCGCCCGACCCGCCCGTCTGCTTCTGCCACTCGTTTTTCTGGTTTAACGTCCCTCCTGCTGACCTTTGTCGTGTTCCATCCTTCGCTCTCCCCGTTGTCCTTCCCCTCCTCCCGCCCCTTGCGTTGGGGGCTGCGCAAATTTCACGCGGCAGTTAAGGAAGATCTGCCCCAAACGCGGGTACGATCCAGGACAAGGGGAGTGCGTACCGAGGGTCCGGGACAGACATGTTGAGTGACATGCGAGCAAATAAGAGTGAATTGTCGTAGAATGACTGTTGCTGTCAACTGTTCATCCCCAGGAAAATCAATACTCTGGGGCCTTCGCGCGGCCCT